CCACCAGCTGCTCTGCGGGAGAAAGATGTGGCAGTCTGCTTCTGTAAAGATTTACAGCTTGGAAACCCTGTGGGGTTGCTATGAGTCAGAATCGACTTGACGGCAGTGGGTTTTTTGGTTTTTGAAAAGAGAATTGCATCCTGATTCATGCTGTGACGTGAACCTTAAAAGCATTATGCTGAATTGAATAAGTCAGAGGCAAAATGACAAATAGTGTATGATCCCATTTATATAAAATATCTAGAATAGGCAAATGCATGGAGACCAAAGTTTATTAGTTGTTACCTGGGGACAGGAGGGAGGGGAACGGAGTTACTAGTTAAGGAGCACTGATTTCCTGTAAAAGGTGATAAAAAAATTGGAAATGGATAGTGGTGATGGTTGCACAATATGGTCAATGTAATTACTGTCACTGAATTGTACATGTAAAAATGGCTGAAGTCTGGACTAAACCAAAACCTAAGAAGTTTCCTGAATACAACCAAACACTTCGAGGGACAGAGTTGAAGGGGCGAGGGTCTGGGGACCGTGGTTCCAGGGGACATCTAGGTCAATTGGTATAACAAAGTTTATTAAGAAAACGTTTTGCATCCCACTTGGTGAGTGGCGTCTGGGGTCTTAAAAGCTAGTGACACCTATGTTCATGGCAGCATTGTTCATAATAGCAAAAAGATGGAAACAACCTAGATGCCCATCAACAGATGAATGGATAAACTATGGTACATACACACAATGGAGTACTATGCAATGAGAAAGAACAAATGATGAATCTGTGAAGCATCTCATAACATGGACGGAACTGGAGGACATTATGCTGAGTGAAATAAGTCAATCACAAAAGGACAAATATTATACGAGACCTCTATTGTAAAAACCCATGAAAAAGCTCACAAACAAAAAGTAACAATCTTTGTTGGTTACCAGGAATGGGGTGGGGGGAATACTAAATAGGCAATAGATAAGTGGTATCTTGGGTGAAGGGTGAGACAGTACACAATACAGCACAACTTGTACAAGGAAAGTTCATGGAAGCTCCATAGACACATCCAAACTCCCTGAGGGACTGAATTTCTGGGCAGAGGGCTGTGGGGACCATGGTCTCGGGGAACATCTCGCTCAATTGGCATAACACAGTTTATAAAGACAATGTTCTACATTCTACCTTGGTGAGTAGCCTCTGGGGTCTTAAAAAGCCTGTGAGCAGCCATCTAAGATACTCCACTGGTCTCATCCCTTCGGGAGCAAGGGAGAATGAAGAGAACAGGATACAAGGAAAAGATTAGTCCGAAGGTCTAATGGACCACGGCCACCACGGCCTCCACCAGACTGAGTCCAGTACAGCTAGATGGTGCCCGGCTATCACCACTGACTGCTCTGACCGGGATCACAACAGAGGATTCTGGACAGAACTGGAGAAGGATGCAGAACAAAATTCTAACTCACAAAAAAAAGACCAGATTTACTGGTCTGACAGACTGAAGAAATCCCGAGAGTATGACCCCCAGACACCCTTTCAGCTCAGTGGTGAAATCACTTCCGAGGTTCACCGTTCAGCCAGGGAGTGGACAGCCCCATAAAACCAAATGGGACTAATGAGGCACAGCAGTCCAGGAACAAGGGCTGGAAGGCAGAAGGGGACAGGAAAGCTGATGATAGGCAACCCAAGTTTGAGTAAGGATAGTGTTGATGTATTGTGAGGTTGTTAACCATTGTCATAGGGGAACATGTGTACTAACTGTTTAATGAGAAACTATTTCGTTCTGTAAACTTTCATCTAAAGTGAGAATGGCAGCACAATGGGAAGAGCGTAGTCGATGTCACTGAACTGTGCATGTAGAAATTTTTGAAATGGTGTCTCTTTGGCTATCTATATTTTCACCAAAAAAAAAAAGAGGTCGAGAAGGGAGAGGGTTGACGTGGCGTGGGGTTGTTAACCAATGTCATAAAACAATATATGTACTGTTGTTTCATGAGAAACTATTTGTTCTGTAAATCTTCACCTGAAGTACAATTAAAAAAACAAACTAACAAAAAGCTAGTGAGCAGCCATCTAAGATGCATGAATTGGTCCCAACCCACCTGGAGTAAAGGAGAATGAAGAACACTAAAGACACAAGGAAAATATTAGCCCAAGAGACAGAAAGGGCCACATAAACCAGAAACTTCATCAGCCTGAGACCAGAAGAACTAGATGGCGCCTGGCTACCACCAATAACTACCCTGACAGGGAACACAACAGAGAGTCACTGAGGGAGCAGGAGAAAAATGGGGTGCAGAACTCAAATTCTAGTAAAAAGACCAGACTGAATCGTTTCACTGAGACTGGAGGGACCCCAGAAGACATGTCCCCAGACTCTCTGTTGGCCCAGAGCTGAAACTATTCCTGAGGACAACTCTTCAGACAAAGATTAGATTGTGCTATGGGACATAAAATGATACTTGTGAAGAGTGTGCTTCTTAGCTCAAGTAGATACATGAGACTAAATGGGCAGCTCCTGTCCAGAGGCGAGATGAGAAGGCAGAGAGGATCAGGAGATGGTTGAATGGACACAGGAAATCTGAGGTGGAAAGGAGGAGTGTGCTGTCATAGTATAGGAAGAGCAACTAGGGTCACATACCAATGTGTGTATAAATTTTTGTATGAGAAACTGACTTGAATTAAAAATTTTCACTTAAAGCATAATTTAAAAAAAAATGGTTGAAGTAACAAATGTTTTGTTATATGAATTTCACCACAAAAAAATGTTTTTTAATGTGTAACTGGATCAAAATTGCTATCTTACTCATTTCAGCTGAATTTCAACTCCATCAGTATCACTGAATGCTGTTCAGCTGGTTGGAGAATGACTGCCCACAAGCAGGCCAGTGACTCAAATCCATGAGTCCAGGACCAAGCTTAAGACTCAGGCATCCAGCTGCCTGCTGGTCATACCCACCTCAGCATCCCAAGGGTGTTTGACACTGAACTTAATCTTGGTCTCTTGAGTTTCCTAAATCTGTCAGTGGCCCCATTATCCACTGGATTTCCAAACCAGCCACTCTCTCCACTGGACTTCATACTCCAGCAATGCCAAACCACTTGCCATGGAGCTGAGTCCCGCTCATGGTGACCTCATCTGGGTCAGAGTAGAACTGTGTTCCATAGGGTTTCCACGGCTGTAACCTTTCAAAAGTAGATTGCCAGGCCTTTCTTCCCAGGTGCCTCAAGGGTGGACTCAAATGGCCAGCTTTCTGATTAGCAGCCAACAGCTTAATTCTCCACATAGCCTGGGGGGTAGAGGGTGTTTGCTCGCATTGCCTTCTCTGCCTGGAGGATTCCTGACCCCTCTTCTTCACTCCACCGACACTTCAAGCTCAGGCTTTTTCTCCAGGAAGCCTTGTCTGCTCTCCTCCCCACCCACCCCCTTACTGAACTAAATGCCACCTCTTCTGTACCTCGACAGCGCCCTGTTCACGTCCTACACAGGGCCCTGCTAGACTCTAAGGTGAGTCTTACTGATGTTTTTATGTGAAGTACAGAATGTATGTTCGATACATTTTTACAGAAGACAGGAATTGTGAGCACTGTTGTATGTTATGGATGAGAAAACCGAGGCTCTGAGAAGAAATTAACTTGTCACACAAATGCTGTGAGCTCAAGGCCAAATGACTACAGAATCCCTGCTCTGTCCCCCAAAATGCATAATTACAAAAGCAATACATCATCATCATATAAAAATAAGAAACTAGAAAAAGCTTAATAAAAAAACTAAACAAAAATAAAACCTTGTAACACCATCACCTATAACAAGTAATCTTATCCTTGTGGGCAATCTACTGTTTTAGCACGTGATGTATTATGAAACCCTATCTATGTCAGTAAATTCAGGCCTACGCCTTTATTGGCTATATAGTATCTATACTACAGATACAGTGTTTTAGAGCCCTGGTAGCGCAGTGGCTTAAGAGCGTGGCTGCTAACCAAAAGAACGGCAGTTTGAATCCACCAACTGCTCCTTGGGAACCTGATGGGGCAGTTCTACTCTGTCCTATAGGGTCGCTATGCGCCAGAATTGACTCAATGGCAATGGGTATTGTCATATTACTGAACACCTAGATTTTTAATACTTCCTTATCATCATAAAACTATTCTTTAGCTAAATCTCTGCCCACATCCCTAGTTATATCTTTAAGATAAACTAGAAGTGGAATTTCTGGAGGCCATGTCTCACCATGGTTCCACAAGGGGTTAAAGAAAAGGCCACTACTTCTTCTTTTTTTTGGGGGGGGTGCTAATTTTTAATTTTTTTAATTATGTAAAATATATATAACACAAAATTCGCTATTTTAACCATTTTTAAGTATACAATTCAGTGGGACTAAGTACATTCACACTGCTGTGTAATCATCACCACTGTTGATTTCTAAAACTCTTCATCAGCCCAAAGAGAAACTCCATACGTATTAAGCATAAGTCTCCCTTCTCCCCTCTTCCAGGCCCCGGTAACCTCTAATCTAGTTTCTGCCTCTATGAACTTGTCTATTCTAGGTATTTCATGGAGTCCCTGGGTGGTGCAAGCAGTTAACGCACTCGGCTGCTAACCAAAAGGCACCTTGGAAGAAGGGCCTGGCAATCTGCTTCTGAAAAATCAGCCACTGAAAACCGTATGGAGCACAGTTCTGCTCTGACACACATGGGGTCACCATGAGTCGGAGTTGACTCAATGGCAACTGGTTCCTGGTAGGTATTTTATATAAGTGGAATCATATAATATGAGTCCTTTTGTGAGGTCCACCCTTCTTAACAAGTTAAATCCACTGCTACTGAGTTAGAAGACTTAGTAATTTTAAAGAGATGGTCTGCATTCCCGAGGAAGGCATGCTGTAATCAAGAGGGCTGTGTAATGGGGGATCCTGGACCAGCCACTCAGAGGATTAGCACATGTGTAGAGGGAAGGCAGACTCAAGGCATCAATCCTCCCAGCTCACAGGCCTGGGATTATCCTGGCCAAGAACAGTACCTTCTGGCAAACCTGCAGGTCCGCAACAACTTCTTGATATGAAAAAGCTGCTCCTGCATTTCCTAATGTGAGAAAGCAAACAAAGGGAAGAGTTAAATGTTATACATGACCCTGGAGATGTATACGTCAAATTTAAACTCCTTTTTCCAAATGTCAATGTTATTTCTAACCTTGCAATGCTACGACTCTACAGCAAGCCTTTAAAGGGAACAGTCTATACCGCAAGCATTCATTCATAACTGACTCCACAGATCCAGAGAGGGCCCAGGATGGATTCAGGTTTTGTGGAAAACAGAAACATAAAAACATAAAAACCAGTTGCCCTTGAGTCGATTCTGACTCATAGAGATCCTATAGGACAGAGTAGAACAGCCCCATAGGGTTTCCAGGGAGCGGCTGGTGGATTTGAACTGCCGACCTTTTAGTTAGCAGCCAAGCAAAACTAGGTATAAATGCGGAGTCCCTGGGTGGAACAGATGGTTAAGCACTTGATGACTAGCTGAAAGGTTAGCAGTTCAAACCTACCCAAGAGGCGTCTCAGAAGACAGGCCTGGCAACCTGCTTCCAAAAGGTCACAGCCTTGAAAACCCTATGGAGCAGTTCTACTCTGCACACATGGGGTCACCAAGAGTCAGAATGGAGTGGAAGGTTACTGACAACAACAGTATATAAATGCAGAACTATGTATCAATATGAAATTCCACATGGGGCCTTAGAAAGAACCTGTGAAGCTTAAACATTATTTGATTCACGGTAAATCTGCCCCACAGGGGGCTTGTGAATAGCCCCCCACCCCACCACTACCACCAAACTAAAGTACTGTGTTTTCTGCAGCAGGAACCTTCCCGCGGGTGGGACGCGCTTCCTTGGCGCAGGCAGCTGCTCACCCTCACTCTGTCCAGTTCCTTGGCTTTTGAATAGAGGCTCTGGCTGATGGTCAGCAAATTGAAAATGGGCTGGTGCCATATGCTGTCCAGCAGCCTTTTGGAGAAATTGCTGACATAGTACCTCCGGAAGTCCCACATCATGAGGATGCGTGCTGGGATGCAGGACTCCGCGTATGAGTGGCAGCAGTCGCAGAAGTACTTCCCCAAGTACTCGCAGTAGCGGAGCCGCTTCAGAAACTCTGCGAGGCACACAGGAGGGTGAGCACCAGCGCCTGACCCTGAAAACCACCCTCGGCCGAGGCCCCTTCCACCCCAATTCATACACATGGTGTGAGGACTCAGATGACTGTTTGCATGCTGCTAAAGCTGTAACGTGACCTTATGGTAGCTGGGAGAACTCTGGAAGGAGCTTGGTTGAATGTGGCCTTAAACTGTGGGCATTGTGAGCCTCACAGATGCCAGTAAATAGACACCAGCTGCCGCCAAGTTGTCTCCAACTCATGGCGACCCCATGTGTTCTGTCAGGGTTTTCAATGGCTGATTTTTCAAGAAGTAGATCAACAGGCTTTTCTTCGAAGGTGCCTCTGGGTGGACTTGAACTGCCAACCTCTTGGTTAGCAGCTGAATGTGTTCACCATTTGCCACCCAGGGACTCGCTGGAAAATAGAACCCTGTCAAAATATTCCTGGATTTAGAAGATGGATTCTTAAAACTGTGGGTCAAAAAAAGAAGGTGAGATTTAAGGTCTGGAAATCTGGGTGGTGGTGAAGGGTCCCAATGCCAGCTCTCAGTGGCTAGAATACTGAGGGCAGTTCAGAATGTCTTCAGACCTAACTTTCCTGGGACCACAAAAAGTCATGGAAATAAAAACCACCACCTAGGAGCTGGATGAAATGATATTATACATACAAAAACAACCTGCAAATTATAAAGCAAAGCAGAATGCACATAATGTGAGGAATTGTCATCCAAAAGACTTCCTGGATATATCAGTGAGGAAAAAACACAAAAATGTACGAAGCATGGGAATAGGCAGTACATGAAAGAAGAAACACAGATAACCACAAAAAAACAATGTCCAATCTCAGTAACAGTCAAAGAAATGTACATTAAAACAGTGAGATACTATGCTTTGCCTCTAACTGTTCAGAAATTTAGAAGACCCTGAGCTGGTACGGTATAAAAAGGTAGCCAGTCACTCATATTCCAGTAGGATACCTTCCTGAACCACCTCGTAGGAGGGCATTTTGATGATATACTTGAAGTCTTAAATATGCAACAGTGACCCTATCAGACAGAAATGCTAATATGCACACATGGAAGATAGACAGATGTTTACTACAGCCCATTTGTAATGGGGATGGGGTGGGTGACCTAAATGTCCATTAAGAGGCAATGGTCTGATTACATAAGTACATGTAAGAGCATGGAAAAAGGACATTCAGGTACAGATATGTATATGATCTCTATTTTGTTTTAAAAACATACATATACATACAAAGTCTAGAAGGATCCCCACCAAAAAGCAAACAATGGATACTTATGAAGAGTAGGGACAAGAAGAGATTTTTACTTCGCACTTTATTTGCTAAAATGAACATGAATTGATTTTTTGGAAATATCTCTAATAAAATGTTTTGACAAACAAAAAGTATAGAGACTAATGCGACAAATACCTATGTGTCTACCACCAGCTTAGGAAAGACAACGTAGCAATTCAGTTAAAGCCTCCCATGTGCCCCTCCAACACACTAGGGCTAATAGTAGCGACTGTGATATTTATTGTCCATGACTGGACTCATATGTTCCTTGCAATTAAAGTGTCATAAGGCATGATACAAATATTAACATATATTGTGAAGGTTAAATGAAATAATGGATGGGAAAGCAACTACCACAGTACCTAGCACGCTAAAGATTCCAAACATAAAAAAAATAATAAGTTACCATCAAGTCAACTCCGACTCATAGCGATGCCATGTACATCAGGGTAGAACTGTGCTCTGTAGGATTTTCAATAGCTGATTTTTCAGAAGTAGATCACCAGGCCTTTCTTCTGAGGCATCTCTGGGTGAACGGGAACCTAGCCTTTCGGTTAGTGGCCGAGTGTGTCAGCTATTTGCACCAGCTGGGAACTCTGATTCTAAATATAGTTTCCTTACAATGGCTTTAAAAATAAACAGAGATTGAGTGGCTGCAGGAGCAAACCTTCATTGATCATTACTCTGTGTTCGCTCTGGTTAAATGTGCTACATACACTATAGCTCATTCTGTGCTTGCAACTCTATGAGACCCGTTGTTGTCCAGTCGATTCCGACTCATAGCCAACATACAGGACAGACGTAGGACTATTATTTCCTCTATTTTACTGATGAAAACACTAAGACAGTGAGGCTAAGCGACAGGCCCAGGGACACAAAAGCAGTAAGGGGGGAAGCCGGGATGCCACCCCAAGCCCAGATGCTAAAGCTTTAGCTTTAGCCATTGTACTCAACTCTTTGGCGCATTCGGTATGGGTGGGGGGGCATGGAAAAGGAGAGGAGCTGATGGCTTTGCACTTGCCCAAATTATCCCTCGGTCATACTTAGAGTTGATGTGTAAAAATACAGGAATAAGTACATATGTACATGCATTACCAAACCCCGAATTAATAATATGATGTCCCTCCAGAGTTGGTAAATTATTTGTTAAATTTTATTAAATGCCTAATGGTTATGTCTGAGTCCTCAGATTTGAAACTTGGCTAAGTCTGTGGTATTATTATCTACTTCCCACCCTGGATTAAGGTCTCTGACATGGCAGCTATTGAGAATTACTGTGCTTATGATAGGGTCTCACTATATTTTACATTTAATTAGCCAAAAGGCAGGTATCCCCTGGCCCCTGCATTCTACATTTCTGATCAAACTTAGCTAGACAGGAAGAGAAAGGAGGACAGAAGGGGCCAATAAGTTTTCCTGATATAATTCATCTTTCCCCTAACATCTAAAACCCTAATTTTTTTTTATTGTACTTTAGATGAAGGTTTACAGAGCATATTAGTTTCTCATTAAACAATTAATACACATATTGTTTAGTGACATTGGTTGCCAACCCCACGACATGTCAACACTTTCCCCTTCTCAACCTTGGGTTCCCCGTTACCAGCTTTCCTGTCCCCTCCTGCCTTCTGGTCCTTGCCCCTGGCTTGGTGTGCCCCTTTAGTCTTGTTTTGTTTTATGGGCCTGTATAATCTTTGGCTGAAGGGTGAACCTCAGGAGTGACTTTAAAACCCTAATATTTCAATATTCATTCATCCATTTCTCCATTTATCAAAAGTCATTGAATGAATACTAAGTGCCAGGCATTATACTCTCAATACAGAATAAATCTCTTCCATCTGTTTTGATTTTCTCAGTCCTTAATTACAACAGAACAAAACAAAGTATCCTAAAGCAGTGGTTCTCAACCAGGGGCCACTCTGTCCCCAGGGGACATCTGGCAGTATCTAGAGACAACTTTGCTTGCCACAGTTGGAGGACTGCTTCTCGCACCTCCTCGGTCGAGGCCAGGGATGCTGCTGAACATCCTACAATGCACAGGACAGCCTCCCACAACAAAGTACTGAGGCTGAGAAACTGTGGTATGATTACTTTTGTGTGTGGTCTTTCTAGCCATGGCCTTGTAACTCCCACCCACATGACTGTGTTATAGGGTAACTGTGGCCAACCAAAGGGACTGGTCAGTTTTGTCTTAAAAGAGAGCCAATTCCAGAGCAGGGGGAGAAGCCCACCACCACCAAGGAAGGAGAGACCAGCAAGAGAGACCTGGCAGCAGGAGATGGCACAGCGGGCTTCCTGGCCCATGGAGAGAGGAAGCTGAGGGCCTCTGGGGAGAGGCCAAGGGCCAGGGAGAGACATGCCTGAGAGCACGGCTGGGGAGAGGCTGTTCTGATGGAAGAACTATATCCTGAGTGTTCTTGAGCCTGAATTGTAACTGCTACTTCTCTAATAAACCCCACTATTATGAGTATGGTCTGTGAGTTCTGTGTGGCCATTGCAATGAATTATTGAACCTAGTTGAGAGTGCTGTGGGAAAGACAGTGTCAGAATTGGTAGAGATGGCGGACAGAGGAGGCTTGTCTGGCCTCCACCTCATGGGAGTCAGCCTTGTGCTGTTGATCTTGGTTCTCCTTCCCCCTTGTGGGGTTGAAAGAGGTCAGACACCTCCCCCAAGCCGTTTTTACAGAAACCCTGCCCTATACGAACACACAAAAGCCATCCTGAAGAGTTTATTTGATAGGGCATGGTGAGCTTCATGACTCATAGCCATATCCTCTTAGGCTAAACTTCTACATTAACAGTTGTGATTTTATTGTTTCTGCCCACCCTGGAGCAATATAAACAAGCATATCTGAATGAAATCTAGGAGAAGAGGAAACAATACAATAAACCCAGAATGTGGGACATTCTATAAGACAATCGGTCTCATCAAAAGTCAATGTCATGGAACAACTAAAAAATATACGTGCGAGTATATATATATATGTATGTAGGCATATGTGTGTATAGGTATGTATATAGGAATGTATATATAGGTGCATGCATATGTATATGCATCTATGTGACTATATGTACATAAATTCATATATATATAATAAAGTACCTAGGGGCACAGTTACAGATACTTCTTAGACATAACCAAACATCTCATGGAATTGGTTTTCTGGGTTTGGAAGATTAAGACCATAGTCTCGTGGAACATCTCAGTCAATCGGCATAACATAGTTCATAAAATTATGTTCTACATCCTAGTTTGGTGAGTAGCGTCCAAGGTCTTAAAAGGTTGCGAGTGGTTATCTCAGATACAACTATTGGTCTCTACTCATCCACAGCAAAAGAGAAAAAAGGAAACCGAAGACTCAAATAAGAAACTAGTCTACAGGACTAAGAGCCTACATGAACTACGGCCTCATCTACTTTGAGACCAGAAGAACTAGATGGTGCCCAGCTACCACAAACAACCATTCTAATCAGGGCCACAATAGAAGGGCCATGGTAGAATGGGACAAAAATGTGGACCAGAACCTCAAATTCCTAAAAAAAAAAAACAACCCAGATCTACTGGACTGGTTGAGACTAGAGGACTCCCCAAAACTACTGCCCTGAGATACTCTTCAAACCTTGAACTGAAACTAACCCCTGAAGTCACCTTGTAGCTAAATAACAAATTGGCTCAAAAAAACAATAAACATTACCCG